CCAAAAGGGGTGGATCCAACCTGAGTGATAAACCCTCCGTTATATGAATGACCAGAACCACTACAAATTAACCAATGATGTCCTTATTCTAATAATTCAGGATTACAGAAAATCTAACATCTATGCAAACACTACACGCTACTAGAAAAATAAACACAAGGTAGATTAAATGACTAGTTTAATGACATCGAAAATAAGGAATAAAACGAAATAGAAAACACAGAAATAATACCATAAGAGTCTGTTTACTGGCTTCTGAGATTGTCCAAAATATGCCAGATATTAATACATTCACTAATGTCCGTTAGCAGCAGGTATGATGATAACAGTGCAATTAATCACGTAAAATTAATAGCTTAAAAATTTGTAAATGATTAAAAATGTATTAACAAATAGCAGCAGAAGTCGTGTAGCAAAACATATGAATGAAAAATGTAACTGTGTGTGAAGGGGTGTAACTAAATGAAGGACCCCCCCCTTTCTTCACGTGGTGAGAGGGACAAAGAAAAAGAAAAATGGGGGAGGGACAGTCTATTATCAAGATGGCTCCGACCGCGTAGCCCACGCGGTTGAATGTGGTAATTTGGTAATGGTCTTAAGGTCGAAACACAAGAAGATATGAATGGGAAGAAAAAGGGGAAAGAAAATTCACTTGCAGCCTCACACACACACACTTCAACCAAATGAACCAACTCTTAATCAGCACAGATTAAAAATCAGCATTAATTCAAATCCCTGAATCTACCTGTCTCTCTCGCCGAGCGCAGCACCTCATTAATACATCAAAAAGGAAAGGAAATTGATTTACTGTGAGCTGCCTTCCGTCCGTGAAGGATTGGTGTTTCCAAGGGAACTGTGGCTTGGTTTCTGCCACGCAGAGGGTTTCTCGGCACCGGGTCCGCCCTCGGGAAAGTTCAGTCAGTTTGGTGCTACAGCAGAGGGCTTGATATGCTCACAAGTCGTAGAGGATGGATTTTGCGGAAGTAATCTGCGAGGAGCGTCCTCCCGGCCGATCCGTCCAAAAGGGAGGGGGAAACGAAACTCACTCCGCCGTACGCTTCAAAGGCTTCGGTCTCCGCAGTTGGCGCAGTCGCTATGCACGATGGAACACTGCGATCCGTGACTTTTGACGCAGGAAAATGAAAGCTACTTCTAGTCAGCTTTCTTCTGGTATTTCACGTGAAATGAGCCTCTTCTGACGAGCTTTGACACCCACGGAAAAAGAGAACGAAGATGTGCGCGCGCTGCGTTTTAAGCCATGAGTGACGTGGGGGCACTTCCTGTCGGAGTATCGGCTGATTGGTCTGTGATTAAGGTGACCGCCTCCCACAGTAGGTTGGTACAGTGGTCTTCTTTGTGGAGAAGAACAGGGGGATGGTTTCAGATGGCTCACCCCACTGATTTAGCTCCATGTGGGCAATCCAACTAACGCAACTAACGCAATCCAACGACAAACCCATGTATGCTGGATCATGAATTGGAAATGTAAAATAACTAATGTTTTTTTTTTTCACTTTTACCCAATGTATTACAACATCCAACTGCCATGCATGTGAGAATTCAGTTTAACTATAGCTCTCTTAAATTTCACTGGTGAAGTCCTCTGGAAATCTTTAATAATGTCATGATTTGATCTAGAGCTCTGACCCACATGCAGAAGACCAAACAGAGAAACCAGGGAAAAGTTTAACAGGTTTTATTTAAAATATATGAGATGAATCCAGTGCTGCTCTGAACACTGTCGAACCAGAACTGGAAAGTGAAGGGGAAGAGACTGCGGTTAGTTCAGGCTCAGTGGGAAATTAGTGTCTTTGACTTGAAGAAGAGGATTTAGGTTGCAGATTCACGTTTCCAGAAAAAGGTGTCTCTTATTGAATCCAGTCGGTGTGGGTTGTTCCAGTGAATGTCTTGTTCGTTGGAGGGCGAACAAGGTCTAATCAGATTGCGTTTGTACCTTGGTGAACGGAGAAGCTGACTGCCACATAGTTTTCCTGCGGTACTTGAACGGGTTATAGTGGAGATTAGAGACTGACACGGGAGTGGATTTTCACTCCTGTCCCGTCCCACTCCCACAGAAAAAAATTGTGTCCAGTCCCGGGCCAGAGTAGAAATCTAAATCCTGTCCCGTCCCACTCCTGGTGAATTACTCCCACTCCCATCCCGCTCCCATTCAGAATGACTCCCGCACCACTCCCATGCTCTGTTCGAAAACCTAAGACGCGTCCTTAGAAGGCCAGATTCGAAGTACGATTACGTCATAGCGTGGCGCCGAGGTCTGGTCGGATTCCAACAGTCCTTGTTATGCGGCCTTAAAGTGCTTCCTTCTTTTAGCCCGATTTGAAGGACGGGTGTCGATGTATCCTCGGTATCCTTGGTTTACCCAGGATTCATTGCGAGACCAAGCAAGCCGTGATCAGACGAAAGGTTACTTGGCGCCGAACAGTGGTGAAAATTGGAAGTTCAGCTAAATATAATACAAGTCAGTGAATAGTTCCATCTGAGATGAATGAAAATAGTTGTTTTAATGGTTATAGAGTCAGATATGTGGCGGTAATGTTTGATTTATCTAAAGGTTTTTATCTGTTACTGTGTAAATGAGTTTGGCTGTAATTTAAGGACAGATTCTAATATATCTGCAGTCTGGGAACTATAAATCTGATAGGATTTTTATCTTTTTATTGCTGTTTTGCACAATAGGCTTAACTAAGATTTTTTTCTTGTTGAATATTAGAGATTTTGCAGATATTTTTTTAATACATACATTGTTTTGATTTACTTATATATTTCTAACCCTTTTATAGAATAGAAAATCCCTTTATTGTCCCACAATGGGCAAATTTACAGCAGCAGAAAGATTATTGAAAGTGGTCACACAAATGTGGACCTTAGAAAAATGTATAAGAATAACATAATAGGGAAGAGTTAAAAAAACAAACAAAAAAAACCCCCAAAAAACAATACAATTCTGTAAAGTGCTTTAACAATATAAAACTGGAGAATAAATAACCAATATGCAGCTATGGACATTTTTACAGTGATGGATATTTTAAAATAGCAGCAACATCAGAGATGTGCAGAATGACAGCAGCAGGTTATTTAACTGACTAAGGTTTCTATCATTACATTTGATTTTATTTGTTCCTGCTCCCGTTGGTTGTAAACTTTATTCCACTCTGGATTCTTGTTAATGTAGTCTTTGTTCACTTTACAATAAAAAAGAAATAAATAAACAAACAGTTTTGGAAACTTCGGTTTTCATTCTTTTCCTGCTTTGTGTGTCAACTTTCGTGGTTGCTAAGCAACAGACCTTACGGCGGTAAAACCCGCAGAAGGGTAGACCTGGTCGAATTCACAGCCAAAACTCTTCCGGTCTCTTTATTTTCATGGACTTCAAAGGATCCAGTCTAAGTAGACCGCATCCTTGGAGGATGCAGACCAGGTTTTCGAACAGAGCCCCATTCTTGTTGTTTTTAAGCGCGGGTGAAAAACTCAGAGCGAAAGCTCTGTTGGTTTTTGGATCGTGTAGTTTTTTTTGACTCGCATTATAGTGTAGGCTTAAAGGAAAAAAACTACAAAATGGCGGCACCAGTACTGGATTTTTTTTCTTTCTATTTTATTTTATTTTTTGGCGTCGATCCTAGTTTTTTTTTTTTGTTACTATTGGTTTGCTCCCGCTCCCGTCTGCTCCCGTTAATGTTTAATCCTGTACCGTCCAAATCACGTCATCGTTACCAATACTGACTCCCATCCCACGGGAATCCCACGGGAATCCCGTGACCCGTGGGATTCCCGAAAAAATGTCAGTCTCTAGTGGAGATGAATCCCCTCCTCAGAGAGAAGCACCAAACAATCCTTGGGGGGAAAGTTGATCCAAAACACAAACTTGAATCCTCAGCTCAGTTTGGTGCTCAGAGAATCCTTCCAGGGTGGAGAAGGTCCAAATCATCCAGTTTGCAGGATGACTTCCTGCCGAGAGGCAAAGACAAAAACAGCAAGGTTAAAACTCATGTACACAAAAACTTAGTTTGACTTAGCAAAACTCAGCTTGGCTAGAGTACCCAAAACTGGCAAACACCCTGGTGTAGAAGTAGTGGCAACCAGCAGCTTAAGAGTCCTGCGTTAATGAGGTAACCATCCGCAGGCGTGTGAGGAGGCCAACCAGAACCAGGCGCTGCCTGGTGGAGGAGGGAAGACAAACACAAACCACACAAACTGGATTCCTAACAAATAATTGTTGTTTATTGCAGATGTGTCTAGCAGCTCCCATTGATTTTGCTTTTAAAGCGGGGAGAATGGCGCTAGGCTTGCCACACCCTGACATCACTGCCCGAGATGTCGGGAATGAGGTGTTAGTATATTTAGGCACAAATGGCCGCACCGTGTTCGCAACGAAAAATATAGGTTTTATTTTTTACTGATTAACCCTAAATTCATTAAATCACTGCAAACGTATTAGTTTTAGGTATAAATTATGATCCATTGGTTATTCTTGCAGACCGGACTTTTCCTTTAAGTTAGACGTATTTCAGTTCTGTGTGCTCCATCTCCACACCCTTATTTTGATACCAGAGGTCAGAAACAATTATTGTTTTTTAAAGTTATTTTAAGACTTCAGTTTGGTTCAGTGATTGTCTTGGCATGAGGCCAGGCCCGACTTAGGAAGTTCCAGTTGGGAGTTATGGAGGACCTAGAGATTCACTGAAAAAGAAAACCAATTTAAAAGTCCTTTGTTATAATTCAATTTGCAGTGTGCAATTAGAAAATGCTTTTCAAATTAGATAACAAATTACCTGATTTAAATGTTACATTTCAAAAGCTGGTTTTCTTTTTCAGTGGCTCTCTAGGTCCCCCACATGGAGGAAGAATCTGTTCAGCTCTTATAAAAGAAGAAAAAAAAAACACTGAGCTGAGTTTTAAGTTTTTCAACTAGAGGAGAAGAAGGAGGAGGAAGAGGTGGAGGAGGAGGAGAAATGGGAGGAGTGAGAAAGTCAAAAGTGTTAAGTGAAAAGAAAAGTGTCAAAGTGAAATGCGTGTGAAGGCTCTTCTGTACACAGTTTCTCTGCATACCATTTGTCTAACTTGCCCTTCCTCCTCCCAGCTCTGGGACCGTGTGAAAACAGAGACCTGCACAGGAGTGAAGACATGCAGCACAAAGTGAACTTTACCTTGCTGGATCATAAATAGAAGCTGTGGTTTCCTGGAGCGGCTGTGGATCCCGTAGGAAGGAGGGATGAGGCTTAACACATCTGGAGCGTTTTGTTTTCCTACCAGTTGTAAAAAACACTGAGCCTTTTGCTCCATCAGAGGGGGACTTCTGGGACCTGCAGTTTTGGTCTCCCATTAGCTGGAACGGATCTGCCAGTTTGCTGCTGGTGAGGATGTGGAAGCGAGGGACTTCAGGGGTCTGAGGATAATGCCATGCAGTTGATGGTTTTGCTGCTTGTGCCATGCTAAGAGGCAGTTCATCTCTCGCGAGTGTGTTTTTTTGTTCTGTGTGTCTGCTGGTGGCGCTCAGCCAAAGAGCAACTACCCCCAGAAAAAAAGGCTGCATCCGAGACATTACCCATCAGGTGTCTACACTTATGAATTGCTCTTCAATGCAGGTAGGGCTCAGAACAAATGTCCTCTTGGCAGATTTATTATATGTATAATCAAAAGTTAAGTACAAATTAATCAGTAAATATCAGCATCATCTTTATAGAGCTTCATTCAGGTAAATGAATTACAGTGGAAACATTCAGCTGAGATCCTGAGAAAGGGTCAAAGATCATCAGAGGCACAAACTCCAAGTTCTCAGGGTTCTGTTTTCATTTTGAAGAAACTGGAAAAAACTAAGGTGGTTCTTTAAGGAAGACACTCAGAGTGCTTTCCTTTCTCCTGGATGTCCATCTACTTTGGAGCAGACTAAAATTGCCAATAAATGGTGTTTTTTTTTAAACTGTCAATTTGAGCAAAAATTGTTCTACCTGAAAACCAAACTGCATGTGCAGGGAGTTCATGGAGATGGGAACGAAGGTGTAGAAGCACAGAGGAAGCTGTCCCATAAGCTTTTCTCCAGGCTTATGGGTTTATCTAAGGACAGATGCACATCTCACCTGATGGATGGATCCAGTTGGAACCCAACACTTCACTGAAATAAGCATTTCCTTAATAGGAAAGGCCGAACTAATTTAAAACCCAAAATAAAGTACTTGTAAGGTTGAACACCATAGTAGATGCCTCCCGTGGTGCCCTCTAGTGGCTATTGTAGGCATTGCTGCGGCTTGTGATCCACAGGTCTGAAAAAGATCAGATTTAATCTTAGTCTAGACGTTCTGTCCGAAGGCCTCTTCTCATATGAAGCATCAGTTTCAGTTACTTGAGGCAATTTTTGGGTTCTGGGGCTCAGATTAACCTGGCATCAATCTGTAGCTGTATAATCATCAGCATCCAGACCTGAACATCTACATGTTCCTAAAAAGTAAAAGAAAAAGCAACAATCCTCTGGACAAGTTTGAAGATGTTTTGCTTTTCCATCCAGGAAGCTTTTTCAATTCAAAAAGTTAGCATTGAGTTTGAAGCTTTATAGAGTAACCTAAAAACAACAGGCAAATTGAACCAGAGGAAAGGATCTGTTCCTCAGGAATGGGGAGTTGTTTGAATTCATTGCTAGCCTGCAGTATCCGATACTGATCAATGCATCTGAAAGGGGGGTCGTCAGGGGGAATTGTTGGCCCGGTTGCTCAGGCGAGATGTTTTGGTCCACTGCATTGGGGGGGTGGGGGTTTTGAAATAGGTATGTAGGTTTTTGAGAGCTGAGACCCCCTTTGTTTAAGGTTGTTTTTTCTCTCTTAACATAAATGGCTTCCTTCATCTACAGGTCGTTATCAATTAATGACATCAGGAGTCTTTTATCGATATGTCCTCCACTTCATCCGGTCTAAAAATTTATTCTGCCCCCATCTACTGCTCATTTTTCTTTCATTGAACAGCAGCTATGCCAAGTTTAACCCATCATTTGTCTATTTCAAACGATATGAGTTATTATTGCCCTAATTGAAGGAGGATTTGTTTTAACTGTAGCGCCCGGGGGGACATGTCTCCATCCCTTTTGTTTTACTTCCTCCCCAACAGGCCGAAACAGCACAGAACATGAGCCATGTCTGCAGGCAGAAAACTCTTGATCATGTTGAAAATTTAAAAAATAATTTTTACAAGGAGAACAGGACCCCATCAGAGTCACATTATCAATACAAAATGGACACTGATCTGATTGAGGATCGCCATTAACAGCTGCATGTTTAGAGCTCAAGAAATTTCTACTGAGCCAAATCCAACAATATTTGATTCAGGTATGAAGTCATCCAGTAAACCGGCGCAGGACGGTGGCAGGATTAATTTATCCCGAGTCTGAAGCATATTTAAAAAACAAAAAAACTTGATTAATCCGAAATGCAATAAATAAATTAAAAAATAAATATTTTATTATTTTTTAATTACTTTTGATCTGAGATGTGACACAGGGAAAGCTTTCGACATTGCGTTCCCTTTACTGGAGGGACTCAGAGAGCAAACACTAAATGCTAGATGAATTTTTATGGATTTGTTAGACTGTTACTATGCAGCACAGGTTCCAATAAGGTTTATTGCTCTATAACTGTTGATACCAAATTAACTGGGGTGTCATTTCTGTTCCTATTAGCAGAATGGAGGATGTTCCCAGGGTTTAGTTCATGACTACAGGAACCCAACATCCTGCAAATCTGTTTCTCCTCAATTATTTTTACAACAGGCACTAAAAGCTTCTTTTTTTATAATTAGATCTTATAGCAGAGCTTTGGAGACAGGAAATTATTGTTGGCTCCCAATCTAACAGAACGCACAGCTGCAGATATCAGTGAAGTTAACTTTTTGTTAATTTATTAGGGATCCCATTAGCTGTTGCCATGGCAAACAATTAGTCTTCCTGGGGTCCGGATTAAAAACCCACAATACAAAGCACAGTCATAAAAAATATTACATTTCCAAAAATGTCATCTCTTAACACATGGTTTAGAAATGATCAGAGAATGAACAAAAGAACAATAAAAAAAACAAAAAGTAAATTAAAAACAATCCACTGGACTTTGTTTTCAATTTTGAAGACGTTTCGCTTCCCGTCCAGGAAGCTTTTTCAATTAAAAATGTCAGAAATAGCGTTGAGTTCCGAGTTTTATACAGCAGCCCAACAAAACCTTGTTTTTTTTTTTTGAAAACAAATTGAAACAGACGAAGGGCTCCAGCCCTTTGGAATGGTGGTCGTTCGGCTTCTTTTGTTAGACTCCAACCTGTCTATGTCTCTAAAGGGGGGGAGGGCATTAAAAGAAATTGTTGGTTGAATAGGCAAGGTCCTACGCTTTCCTATACAGAGGCTGGGGATGCGATGATAGTGGGAAGGGATCAACTCTATTGCTGCATTGCATGTTTTTGGAAGCTGTTTAATGTTGTTTTTTCTCTCTCAAACTTTCTATTTTCTTTTTCCAAAATGTGAACATTCTGGTCCTCAAAAAAATTTCCTTTGTCCATAAGGTGTAGATGTACGACAGAGTCTTGTCCCGAGGAGGCCGCTCTTCTGTGTTGGGCCATGCATCTGTGGAGAGGTTTGGTTTCTCCAGTATAAAGATCAGAGCATTTCTCACTGTATTGAACTGCATACGCCACTCCTCTCATATTTGGTCTGGGGGTTTTATTTTTAGAATGCACTAATCTCTGTTTAAGGGTTTGGCTTGAAATGGGCTGGGATTTTGTGTTTGGAGAAAATCCTCTTGAGTTTGTCAGAGACTTCAGCAACAAATGGAATGGAGATGTTTTTGCGTTTGATCTGCTGTGTGTCTTTTATATATCCTTGGTGATTTGACAAACACCCAGTTTGCATATCTGCAGGTTTGAAGAGCACCTTTGATGTGTTTCTGTTCTGTTTTTGTAGGAACATGCTCAGAGCGATGTTGTAAGGTTCTGATGACTGAAAGTTTGTGTTCCAGTGGGTCGTGTGAGTCAAGAAGAAGATATTGGTCAGGTGTGAGTGGGCTTATAGATGTTGAGGGCCAGGTTGTTACACATGATCCAGTCTTGTATGACATTCAGTTCTCTGCTCATAACCAGATTTACTTCCCTGCATGAAGATGCAGCAAGATACAAAGGAAATAGATTAGATTACATCTTGACACTTGAAGCACTATTGATTCATATATTTGTTGGGGTTTTTTTGGCATAAATGGAAGCATCAATGCAATCACATTCATTTTCCTTCCCTAAAAAGAGGAAGTAAAGTTTAATCTTTTCTTTAACTTTTCCTTTTTGGTTAAACTTCTTTCTATGTTTTCTTTAAACTACACCCTATACAGCGATAGCAGGTGTATTTACAACAACTTCAGCGGCATGTCTTCTATTTATCATATGAAGACATAAAACAAAGTTAAAATTTTTACATATTAATTAATAAAACCAACAAGTTCTTTGTAATTTAATTGGTAAAGATCAAAGATAATACAGGAAATCTGTAGCTGACACGATTTGCCTGATATTTATAAGTTGCTTTTGTGCCTGCTTGGTTACAATTAGACCCTTATTTCATGCAAACATACATTTTTTTTTTCATGTTACATAAAAGTAGGAAGAGGATACCCAGAGGTGTCAAGTAACGAAGTACAAATACTTTGTTACTGTACTTAAGTACACATTTTAGGTATCTATACTTTACTCCATTACTTCTGACTTCTACTCATGACATTTTCACACTGTATCTGTACTTTCTGTTCCTTACATATTTAAAACAGACGTTACTCATTACTCTTGGCTTTGGATCCGGACCCACCTGCTGGCTAATCTGGACCCAACTTTATTTAAAACATTTATAAATTACCACATGTTGTCTGACGGCAGTGTCTAAACGTCACTTGCGCCGCTTCTCCTGTTACCCCCAAAATCCCATATCCATCGCTCCGCCCCGCTGCCCTCCAGACCTCCTGCACAAAGCAAAGCCTACAGCCTCTGCTGTTCTTCCCGTATTGAGGATGCCACTATATTCAAATTCAACTTATGCAGTGGTGGCCTAGTGGTTAGGGCATAGAGCTTGGAATCCTGAGGTTCGGGGTTTGAGACCAGAGGCGTGCACAGACATTTTGGGGGGCAGGTGCTCAGGAGGGAGGGAGGGGGGGGCACTGTTTAGCACACATGGAACACTTAATTATAAAAGAAAAATACACACGCATGTTGAATGAAATTTGACTTTCGTTTGTAACATTCTCTAAACGTGAGTTTTCAATGGAAAAAAGTCACACCACCAACAGAACAGACTAAAGCGTACTACTTTAAAGTAGTTCTTCTATCTGGCTCGTCTCCCTGTTTTCCCTCACCCATCTGCTCTCTCTCATCCATCTGTTCTCCCTCATCCTGCTGGTCTCCCTCATCCTGGTCTTTTTCTGTCTCTGTGTCTTCCCTGATCTGTTCCTCATCTCCTGTCCTGGTAGATGTTGATGGTATAGAGCTTCCCTGCTGTGACTGGCTACAATATAATAATAATAACCATCATGACAATAATAATGATAATAATAATAATAATAGCTTTAACAAATATCCCACCTTA